AGGGGCCTTACAACCCCTTGGTCGTCTGTGTAATTTCAAGGAAATTGATTCAAACTTTGGGCTGGTTTTAGTGGTGTCCATTGACACCTCGTCTGTACTCGTCCTATATATTTTATTAATTTTTCAATTATTTGGTGTCCATTGACACCTCGTCTGTATTCCTATATATTTTATTAATTTTTCAATTATTAATATATTTGTCGTTTTATAAAAAAAAATGGAAAACTAACCCACCGTCCGACCACCGATGGTCAGTTTATGAGGAAATACAATCGGTTTCGCACCATTGGGATTCGTGAAAAGACAAAGAGAACTGGCTTGATCTATTTTAATCTTTTCAGTGAGAAAATTCTAGTCCTTACTTTGTAATTTGTATAACTCCGGCATAGAGTACATCCTCTAATTTTGCTGTTTTATGCTACCAGAAAAAATAAAAAGGGACTATGGCCGAAAAAATTGGCAGCACTGTCTGCGTAACCGGCGCCGGAGGATACGTGGCCTCGTGGCTGATCAAGCTGCTCCTTTCTCACGGCTATAACGTCCATGGCACCGTCAGAAACCCTGGTTCTTTCTCTCTCTGTCTCTAGTCGTTGAATACCGAAAATTTGTTTAATTTAGTGATGTAAATTACTTTCCCTCGTAATATAAGTAGACGCAAAGAGACTAAAGTGACTGAATTCTATGCGCTGTTCTTCCAAAATTTATGCTTCTTAGCTACAATTTGTTGCCTTTCATTTCATTCCTTGAATTGTGGATTGGTATTTAAAGAAAATAAAAATTGTTGGAATAGTTGGTTGTCTCTTCTATTGATTAGAGAAGAAAAAGTGAAAATGACTCAATAGTGTGTGTATTTGAATGATGTTTTTATCCAATCATTGTTTTAGGTTAAACAATGAAAATTGAAAGGTGAGTTTGTATATCCAGTTTCCAGTTGTGCCTCTCACACAGGCCCATGTGATTTTCAATGGGCACTCTAAATATAATTTTTAATAGCATTTCCGTGCTATTAGAAAGAAAGTTTTCTACTTACCAAAAAGGAAAGAGTGTTTTTCATCCCATGTTCCACTTGAATATTTATGGCTTAGATCGATAACAAAACAAAGTCCAGCTCTTGTGTCTTTGAACACAAATTGTCTAGTAATTTGAGCTCATATTAATTTTTATTTCGTATTTTGCAGGGGACGACAAATATGCTCATCTGAAACAGCTCAATTACGCAGATGAAAAACTAAAACTCGTTAAGGCAGACTTGCTCGATTTTGACTCCATTCTTGCCGCTGTCAAAGGATGCGATGGAGTTTTCCATGTTGCCAGCCCAGTTCCTTCTGGCCCAGCTTCAAACCCTGAGGCATGATTCTTCAGTTCTTACTCAAAAGTCAAAATGCATGTTAATGCCTGATTTGGTTGTATTAAGAGTTTT